TCTACAAATCACTAATTTGAATTTTTCCCTAATTGATAAATCGTATAGTCACAAAAATGTGAGGAGACTTAAAGAGAAGTCCAACGCTTTATTAGTTTTGGACTATAATGGTTCTAATCAACGGAGAGAAGCCCAATCTTTTTAAATTATTCCAACAACAATGTGCTATGAGTATAAAAAGAGGGGACCAAATGCAAATTCAATTTTCAAACTTTTGAGATAAAGGATAAATAATTTGATTTATACGAAATTACTACTAACATTATATGTTACTATTCACTGATTCAATCTTATTTATTGTAAAAGTATTTGATCCACATGTCACCTAATTTGTCTACTCCAAACTTATTACTTATTGTCCATATCACTACTACTACTAGTAGCCATTGCCAACACCTATCGACAATTTTTCAGCCATTTTGCTTGGTGACTTTCTCGAGCAGTAAGTCTAAAGCAGCAATAGGGGTTAAAATGAAAAAAAAAAAAAAAAACCTTCAAAATTAATAAGTTTGTTCCTCTCAAAAAATTTAATTTTTTATAATCATCTTCCTTCAAAAAAAGAAAGGAAAAAAAAAATCATTGGACCTAGGAGATATCCTCTAGGAATAGGCTTTATCACCATGAGTCTTTTCAATAAAAAACATTAACCATGTGAAAAAAAAAATAAAAATACCAAAACTCATTTTAAGATATTCAAAACCTATATACAATAATTTATTTTCTGTCATGTGGTTCATAAATTACAAATCCTTTATACTTGTATTGTTTTGAAATATGAGGCATAAATTATATTTTTAGTCGAAAGACATAAGTTCGTCTGAAGACACTAAGGTTGATTTTAGTTATTTTACATTAGTCTTTTTCATGTTCTATATTTAGAGACTCCTTAGAAAACATATGACAAGTGATAATTAAGATTAAAACGAAACAATGAATTGAGTTTGGCATTCGATAAGGACATATTTTTAATTAGGTATTCATTTGGCTAAAGTGGTTGGAGAATAAATTTATGTATCAAGTGAATGATAGGAGACACACTCATAAAATACAACCTCATTAATCTTCCACATAAAAAAGAAAATTTGAATCTTGGACACTTTTTATTGTCACTTCAAAGACACTACCCAGAAATAATTGATAAACAATCAATAGTCGTATTACATTATAGTAGGAGCCAGGTTGGGTTCCTCCTATGTGGGGGGGTGGCTTCAAACATTTTTAATTAGTTATTAAAAGAATAAAATAAATTAAAAAATTAACCAAGATTGAATGCACTTTCAAAGATTATAATCATTTTATTTTTTTTCTCATATAAAAGTCTATATCTAATACTGATATTTTTATTTTTGCGATAAGTAATATTAAAAATTGATTTTTTTTTTTTACTTTTTTAAAAAAAATACAAAAAAAGTAAAAAGAGTGAGACAAAATGTAATCAAAGAAATTGACTTTTAATCCTAATTGCCAAAAATTAAAATTAGTCCCAAATAAAAAAAAAATTCAACTTTAAAAAAAATGAATCTAAAAAAGTTTTCTAACAGTAGTCTTTTAATCATTGGAAACATAGAGAATTTTGATTTGGAGACAAATTCAAAAATAAAAAATAAGAATTAAAAATCTAAAGGTGGTAAATTATAGGTTCTGTTTAGAAGAGCTTTTCAAATTTATATTTATACTTCACGTTTGAGTATCTTGTTTGTTTTACAGTTCTTCAAAAGTTTAATTCTACACTCATTTTTTGATTAAATGTTTCTTCCAATGCGAGAAAATTTGGGCATAATGCTCATTCACTCCTTAGAACGTTCGGACTGCGTTGACTTGGAACAGTGCTAGTTATTATTATTATTTTATGTACTTATGATTATTATATTTATTATTAATTTGCATCTATTATTTATTTTTATATTTAATTAAATAAAAAAATGTAGAAGTTTTTTTATAATTTTGTATGAGGTTGTTTGAATATAATTTTGAAGTTGTATGTTGGTTATGAGTTGCAAGATGTTATTATAATCAAATTATGAATATGTCAACATTCTACAAGAATTTATCTACAATCAATTTCAAAACTCGTGTTCTAAAGCACATTACACAAACAAAATTTTTCACACTCAAATCGTAATTCTAAAATTTAGTAATTCAATAATATACTTCTGATTCTCAAATACAAATATTAAAAAATTTTACCCAAGAATAGATCTTAGATATGGCTTGTAAAGCTGAATACATGATATAAGATTTAAGGAGCATAGAGAAATTTCATATTTCCTATTTTAATAACCTTTAAAAAGTAATGAGAGGGGATAGTTAAAAATTAGCACCAAAAAAAAAAAAAAAAACAACCCAAAATTAAAAAAACAAATTTGAGATTGATAGTTGGCAATGCAGGACATAAGGACTTTTTAAATTGCGTTTTAATTGCCTTTTCCATTACAGCTGCAACAACCACCACCACCACACCAAAAATGGATAAAAAGTATAAAAGGTAAATTAGAATTGAACATTATATTATAAAAATAAATAAATAGATAATAAAAAAGTACAATAATTAAACATTTGGAATGGGGCAGCAGCCTTGACTTCCTTGAACGAGATACAGAGAGAGAGAAAGAGCCTTCGTCTTCGTTATTATTATACGATCTTATCGTAAAGTAAACCGCGTTACAGAGAGAGAGAGAGAGAGAAAGAGCGGGGGGAGAGAGAGAGAGAGAGAGATTTTCAATTTCTATCCCTGGTACACTGCAAGGGTTTTTGTCGGTGGTTTCCACCGGAACTCCGCCATACGCCGCCGTATGAAATAAAAGAACCGGCGGGCCATGTGTTGTAGCCCAATTACCAATGCATTGGTGGCAAACTCCCTTCTCTTCTTCCTCAGCTTCACATTCACCTTCATCTTCATCTTCAACTTCACCTTCATCCACGAAGCGTCATTCCGATGATAGTGCTTTGAAAAACAAGATATTCTCCTTTCGCAGCCGAGTCTTCCGCTCCAATCAGCCCCGCCTCACGCGCTCCAGTAGGCTTCGCTACCCTACCAAGGACCACCCTGACCTCCTATGGCGCTCTCCCAGCGTTCAGAATCAGTCCTCCTCCTCCTCCTCCTCTGTTGTTCCTCAGCCTTTGCCTCTTCCTGAATTGGCCGTGTTGCTCCGCCATGACGCCTCGCCTCGTAACCTCAGCTCCAGCCCCGTCAATGTTCCTCTTCCATCGCCCAAAGAGCGGCTGAGCAGCGGCGGAGAGGACACAGAAAGAGAAAGAGACGGTTTGACCGTTGATACAAATGAATATGGAGTCTCGCCCACCTCTGGATCTGGCAGGTAAAAAAAATTCGAAATTGATTCAGAATTCAATAATTATCGTATGTATGTACTCATTGAAATCTGCATTTATGGAACTATAAATTTATTGATATTCATTTACAAATGTTTATGCAATTCATAACTTTTTCAATTTGCTGGTTGGAGTTGACATTTTAGGTCAAAATTATATCTTGAACAATTTTTGAGCTTTTCTTCTCTGTGTGTGTGTGGGTGTGTGTGTGTGTGTGTGGTGTGCACGTGCCAGTGAGGGAGGGAGGGAGGGAGAGAGTGTCAGAGGGAATTTTAAAATTTTTTTTATAGCTAATCTAAGCCACAGATTTTTAGTGGAATGACGTGGCCCAATCTAGATCGTCCTCTAGAGGAAGGGCTGGAGAGAGAAGCTAGAAAAGATTTGAACTCAGAATATACTATAGATAAAAAAAGATGCAAAAACAAGAAAACTTAACAACTTAAAAAATTTAAATCAAACTAGATGAATATGGTTTTTAAAACCATGGTTCTATTAGGGGTGAATGGCTCGTGGTTTGTGGGCGGTTTGAAACCCGCATGCGGTCTGGGGTGGGCCTGTCTCGGTTAGGCCCGGGCTTGAGCCCAACCCAGCCTAGCCCATCTCGGGACCCTAGGCCTTGGTCGTCATTTTGAAGCCTGATCCGGTCCATGGGCCTAGCCCACCTGGTTCAACTCATGGCCTGGCCTATCGGTCCATTCAAGGCCCATACAAAGCTCGGCCCGAGGCTCACACCACTTGAGACCTAGTGTCATTTTTAGTGAAAAATAATAAAATTTTGGTGAAAAAATAAAAAAATATATAAAAAAATGTTCAGGCTCACCTAGACTTAGCCCAAGCCCGAGCCTAGGCCTAGGACCCCCTACGCCTGGGCCTAATTTTCTGTCCCATGGGTTGGCCAAGCCTGAATTTTGGCAGAACCCTGCATGCCTGATATGGGCTAGCCTAAGCCTAGGATCGGGCCCAGTTCTGATTGGGCTGGGCCTGGCCGGGCCAAATTTACACCCGTAAACTCTATGTTACGGTTTTCTTTCCTTTTAAATCAAAAAAATGTTTTGAAAATCAAATTGGCGAGCGAGCCATAATAGTGTTCAGGGGAATAGATCATTAGTTTAACCGTGGGGTGAATCGGAATTGAACCGTGATGTCATAATTATATCATAAATATATTAAAATTTCTAAATATAATAAAAATTAAACAATTAAAAAAAATTATTTCTAGAATTTATTTTACATTTTTTAGACATTGATGTTTAGTAAAAAATAATTAAGCTAATATTGAATATATAGTATATATATTTATTACATTTTCAATAATTGTGTTAATAGCTTAGTGATTATAGTGCTTATTTCTTATGTACTTGGTTCCATGTTCAAACCCTCCCCACAACTGTAATAACCCTCACCACTGATCACTGATAACCCTACTGATTACTGCTAAACTGAGACTGAATATGATTAGTAATCGAATTGATTGAAATACTGAACTGACTGATTGAATGTGCTAGTTTAAATGCATATCTATCTGTTGACTGTTAAAATTATCTGTTTATGTTATATGCTTTAAACTACAAATTGAAGGCATTTTCAGCGGCCGAATCCGAAATTGATTGATGTTTTGTGTTAATCATAATTTATGTGATTTTATGGCATATTTATCCAAAATGTGATTTAGTGTGATTAAATTAGATTAAATAATAATTAACTATATAAGTTGGACTTAACTACCAACAAGCCATCCTAATGACCCACTACCTAGCACATTTGAGCCTTACACTTGATCACATAACATTTTTCCCTCAGCCATTCTAGAGGCCACAACCGACTAGAGTGAGAGAGTGAGAGGATAGGAGTGATTTCAACTTGGTTTTGTGAATTGGCTTGAAGAATTGAAGTATAGATTACAAATTGAGATCCCTTATCTTGCATTGGAAACTTAAGGTAGTATAGTCACATTCTTGTTTATGAATTGAGCTTGTTCTTGCATGATTCATGTCAAAATTAGGGGATTGAGTCTAGAACTAGCTTAAGTTGTTGAATTGGAGCATGAATCTTGCATGCATGTTTACATTGTTGAGTTTGGAAGTTTGATTTCATGAAAATCTTGCATGCATGTTCATGTTTGTGTTAAAGTCCATGAATTCATCTTGTCTTTGAAGATATTGACTCATTAGAGCATGGAATTGAAGCTTTGAAATTGATTAAACCCATGCATATTACATTGAAGCCATGTTCATGAAAATTGGTTTGAATTTCGATTTAATTGAACTACCTTTGGGCCTTGATTTTACAAATTAAGCTTTGAATCATGTCATACTATGTATTTGCAAGTGTTTTTCAGGAAATGGGCCCAAAGGAATCGAATTTGATTCATTTGAAGTTGAATTTGAGCTTGAGGTTCCAATCTGGGAATTCCAGATTTCGAACTCAAGCTCGAGCGGGGTGACTGGCTCTTGAGCATGGAATTCGTGCTCCCAGCACTTTGCACTGTTTTGCAGTCCGCTCGAGCGGGACCTTGTGTCTCACGCTCGAGCTGCTACCGAGCGCCCATCGAGCATAATTTTCACACATCCAGTACTTTTGTTATGTTTTACAGTCCGCTCGAGCGGAGTAACGCGAGCTCGAGCGGAGTATTTTGTTTGCCTGTACGCTCGAGCGGGATAACCTGTGCTCGAGCGGATCCCTTGTTTTCTGAAAATTCTGGAAAATGTTTTAAAGTGCACCTTTGCATCCTCATTCCATCCTAGGCATTTTTAGGCCTAGTTTAAGGCATCTTAATGAGGATATAGATGTAGAACCACACCGAGTCTAAGTAGGGACTAAGTCTTTGATTCCCGAATGTGTAACTTAGTGTGTGTTCGTTCTGTCACTCTATAGGGTTGGCTTTTGGAGACGCGCTCTAGCTGCTTATAGCCCAGAACTCTGTAAGTAATGATGTCGTAAAAATATGTTCAAAGATGAATATTTTCTGACTGTTAACTGAACTACTTTCTGAATTGTTACTGTTAATTAAATGAATGTATGTCCTCTATTCTGAACTGTAATATGGCATCCTTAGCAACTACTGTTACTGTTACTGCTACTGTTACAGAGATCTCTGTCGGTTCCCATGTTGGAACCACTACTATTTACTGTTATGATGGCCATCATTGACTGTTCGGTCTTTAAGACCTACTGTTTACTGTACTGCTATGCTAATGGATGTACCACATATGACTGTTATGACTGAATGACTGATATACTGAATTAATGAACTGTTTTCATTACTGTAAGGACATTCATTCTTAACCTCTTTACGCATTATGTTATTCACTGGGCTTTAGCTCATTGTTTATATATATATATATAGGTGTTCAGGCACTAGACCGGAGTTAGGAGCGTGGGTTAGACCCCCCTTTTGTCAAGCCAACCACTGTGCCTCACTGTAAGGTTTCGAGCCTGCCAAGCTATGGCTTAGGGGTGTTTTAATTTCCCCCATCTGTCTCTGTATCTGTTTTGTGCTACTGCATAGACTGATAGCACTGTACTACACTGTTATAATAGGGATTAGGTCTCTGCTCTAAATGATTGTACATATTTGTATGGACTATTTCGTTATGAATGTGCATACGAATGAAAAGTCTTTTTGCATACAGACTGTCACAGCTCATTGGACATTGTTTATTTACTGTTTTGGCTTCCGCCATGCCCCTGTACTCTGTACTACTGTTTTACTGTTAAGCAGGCCTTCGGTAATCTCGAATTACTGGCCGGTTACGGTGCTAAACCCATAGGGGCGGGTTTGGGTCGTGACACAACATATTTTTGAAAGAATCTCCAATTTTTTAGGATTTCTTCAAACCCAGTCAGTTATAAGGATCTAGTACCAGTTCAACCGGTGGGTTCCCGATTTTGACAAATAAGGCCTCAATTTTTTAAGATTTTTTCAAACCTGGCTGGTTATAATGACTCGGTATTGGTTGATTCCCAGTTTTGACAAATAAGGCTAATTTTGGACATCAAACGATTTTAGAGGATCATCCCGACTAGAACTAGGTCCAGTCACCGATTGAACCAGCTAGTCTAATTCGATTTTCTAAACATTGAATCAAACTAGATGAATATAGTTTTTATATGGTAAATTATAATATAGAGGCCTTTGTTTTGCTGAGTCTCCCCAATAACAACATCAAATTTACAAAGCATCAACTTCTGTTCTGGTATATGGCTAAAATTGGCTAAAATTAGTTTGGAACATCTTGAGGACAATATTCAATAGGCTGAGTCAAAGACCTATGAACACATTTTACAACTTGGAGCCAACTTATGCCTAGTATTTTACGAATAAAGTTTGCAAAAAGTTGGCTTAGAGAGCCTATGTCTATTTAACAAAGAAAATGAACATGAGATTGAGAGAGGCGAAAAGAATTCCATTGATGGAAGTATAGTTTTGAATTGGTTAAACTCCAACGAACCCAAGTCAGAACTTTATGTTAGTTTCGAGAGCCAAGTTCGTATGTTCACGAACAATTCCTTAAGACTACTCATGATCTTGAGGCTTCTGGTTGCCCATTCATTTGGGTGGCTAGAGATATGTCAGAATATGGTGATGAGGGAAAAAATAACAACGGGAGAGAGTTATGAAAGCAAAAAGCTACTAGATGGATTTGAGGAGAGGATAATGAAGTCCGAAAAAGGTTTGATAGTAAGGAACTGGGCTCCACAATTGCTAATCATAGAACATCAGGTATGACTAATTTGCCTAGTTGTCACGGATAAGGCACTTGTTATCCTCTAAAAAATTCAGCTCCACAAGTGGTACTATGTACTCCCGTGCATTATGCCAAAGGACCAACCTAGGTAATGCAATAGTAGGAGTATTCAGTAGATATTCTGATTCGTCCAAACCACCTGAATCGAATCAATCCGTCCCATTTTGAACGGATGCATAATGATGAGCGAACGGTTGCAGATTGATTGTTTCTAATCCACCTATATGGCAAATTTGAGGTTCA